TGTTTAGTAGTTCAAGTGGTGATAGGACCATATTAGTATATATCACTAATGAAAATAAGTAAAGAAAGTGATCAAAGTTTGACCGTGTGAAAATTAACTGGGAAAAATATTTTAGGACGGAGGGAGTATCTTCTAGCTAGGTGACATTGCGGGTGTAAAAAAATTACTTTAATTTACATTATTTGTTGAAGTTAATTATTGAAAAAATATTTTTATTTTATACTCCATAATAATGTTTGTCTAGCTAATTTAGTTTTCTAAAAGATATTTTAATTTTTTTTGAAAGAAAATCTATTATTAAATCATAGTGTCAAAATGTGTTACATTTTTGCTAAAGTTTACTACGGAGTATTTAACATTTATTTTAAACTATTAAGTTTAGTCAAATATTAAAAAAAGATAGTGGTAGAAAGTTGGCGAATTAGAATGTGAAATACGGAGTAAGTGGAATGTGCAGTAACTTTTAATCGTTGCTAATGCCTACTCCCTCCGTTTTTTAAAATATTTCCTCTTTTATTTTTTTCACTTCGAACAAAACACTTTCACTTTCTATTAAAAAACCACTTTTACCCTTACTTTTTCATACCCTATCTATCACATATTCACAACATACTTTATCTCAAATAATCTATCCATCACATCTTACTTTTACCTATCACATCAATGGCAAAATTGGAAGTCAACTACAATTTAATACTTTCTTATTTTTACACAAAGTCAAAATAGGAACACTTTTTCCAATCAGAGGGAGTAATAAATACTCCGAAGGTTCTTATCTCTTTCCTTCAAAAAAAATTACGGGTAGAATTATATATGCATCCAGGTAGCCATCCGAAGGGAGCAATGGATGGATGGAGGGAGAGTGATTCCGTGAAGGTGGGCACAAAACAAAATTACTCTGCACAACAGTGGTCAAACAAACACCCTTTTGATTTTTTTTATACTACTATAAAATTAGAATTAATTTACGAATTAAGCTAGGGGTACACCAACATGGGGTACCCCAAGTGTACACCAAAGCCAACACAGACACAAAGTGTCTGTGTTGCACAGACATTTTGTGTCTGTGTGTGTCTGTGTTGGCTTGGTGTACATTTGGGGTACCCCATGTTGGTGTACCCCTAGCATTGCCCTTATTTTAATGTTTTATTTTAGGTTGGATGGGCGACGCGACTTGGTGGATGTTGACCATTGACAGATCATAGATCGATTATGGGTTCATGTTTTAATTGTTGGGAAATAATCTTTGGTGAGATCAAATATTTGTTTGGTTCGGAATGACAAGACACACACACACCCCCTAGGGACAAATATTGTGGTTGGTCCAACCGTAGCTTCTTTTCGAACCCAACCAAACACTAGCCTCTCTTACTTACCACTATGGTAGAAGATACATGATCCCTTAGGGGGGAATATAATGTGGGAATAGACTAGGTCTAGTAAATATTGATCCAAAAGTAATAAGTTTTGACCAAAGATTCTCTTGGTTAAATTTTAAGATGAACAAATTCAAAATGATGATCAAAACCCACATGCTAAAATAATGTTTTATTTTTTTTTCAAATTTATATACTCTCTCTTACTCAATACTAAATGTTGGTGGGATAATGCCCAAGCACATGTTAGGGCCATAAGACACATCCATATGTTGCAGATACCTGGCCCGCAGAGACTAAGTAAGAGTACAGATAATCGCATGGATACGTGACTAAGTCTGACCAGAGAGCCATGCCCTGACCAAAGTGCCATGTCCCGACCAGAGTGGTATGTTCTGACCAGAATAATTACTCGTATTTAGTTATTCTAAAATAAGTACTCAATTTCACAACAATGAGCATATAATTCCTAGAAAATGAATATCGAGTTATTGGTAAATACGTAGTACTCCGTAAATCACTTCGAGGGTGAAATTGTTGATCATCTTTCTCTCCATTGTCCAGTTGCTAATTCCATTTGGGAGCAGGGTGGATTTCACATTATGTCTCAAGGGAGTGGTATTTCATTTTCAAATTGGTTTCTGGTTGTTATCCACCATGCATCTAATAGCGAGCTCATCCCTGTTGTATACTTGTATGGACTATTTGGATGATATGGAAGTGTCGTAACTTGGCTGTATGGCAACAACAAGTATCAACCCCAGATTCATCGATTCGTGGGATATTGGCTTTGGTGAAGGAGGCCCTTGTCGTGGTACCTATTGTGCCTTCCCTTCTGCAGATCAGTTCACCCAATTTAGAGGCAGTTCATTATTTTTTCGATGCTGTGATTTTCCCTTCATCAGGATTGGTCAGTTTTGGAGGGGTGTTGTTTTCTTCTTCTTATACGTTTCAAGTGGCGATTTCACGACAGATTCTCTGTTCCCAAGATCCTTCATTGGCCAAAGCTATGCCATGTCGTAAAATTTTGGCCTGGCTTAAAAGGTAGAGGGGCCCAGACACTAGTGTTCTTTTCAGATTGTCTTCATGTGGTGTAGGCAGTTAACCAAGTGGGCAACTCTGTTTGTGCTTCATACTTTGGTTCATTAATTGATTATTGTAAGGCTATTATGACTAAATTCGAGTCTATTTCATTATCTTTTGTTTGTAGATCGTCTAATGTTATTGCACATACGTTAGTTTAGGCGGGTGGAAATCCAAACAGGTGTTTGGGATCTTACACCTCCAGATTTTGTAGTTCCTGTTTTAGTTGAATAATAAGAGTTTTTTTTGTTTCAAAAAATGAAAAAAAAAAAACTAGCCTTAGCTTACTATAGATTGTACATATATGGGAGGCAGTTCCAATGACATTACTTAGCAATGTCATGGGATGACTAGTGGGCCGTTGGATACATCATTCGTAAAATTGATGATTCTATTCCTCCCAAACTCTCAGTAAACTCTCACCCCGCCGCACCCCGAACCCACCGCCCACCCTCTTCAATTGCATCCTCTAAGTTTAATTTACTTTGGAATCGAAATTTTAATTCTAAAATTAATTAAACTTGGAGGATGCAATTAAAGGAGGTGAGCGATAGATTCCGGGTGGGGTTGTTAGACAATAATGTTAAGTATTCCTAGTTATGGTAGAAGTTGTATTTTAGTTAGTTTCCATTCTCTATTTCTAGTTGTGTTAGGAGTTTCTCCTATATATAGTCTATCATGTACTCCATAATTCAAGGAACAATATTATAATTCCAATATTTTCAACATGGTATCAGAGTCACCGCTCTTGGTGACCTAAAAAAAGTTCTTTGCTCCCACCGCCGCCGCCGGTAATTCCGGCAACGGCGGCTCCACCCTATTCACCTCTATTTTCTTTTTCTTCTTTATCCTCAAATCAACTTCTCCATTCAAATGAAAAAAAAGGAAAAAAAACCTTGTTGAAATCACACAAAAAAAACTATCAAAGGAGGAACTTCTCTCTTGTCATCTCCACGGTTCTTCAAAAAAAACCCAACTCCTCACAAACTCTCTCAGATCATCCTATCTTCTCAAAAAAAGGAAAAAAATGATTGTTGTTTCTCTCTAATTCACCATATCAAAATCTCAGACCCAATTTTTTTTCCCATCACCAATTATTAACCTACTGTTTCTCTCTAAAATCACTCATTCTAATCATCAACCTCCGTTCTCTTTCTCTTCTGTAGAATCAATAAAAATCCAAAAAAAAAACAACACAAAAGCAAAGCCAATAGGGGAAGTGTTGAAAGAGGAAAGAATACCTCTACACCCCTTCAAGAAAGAAATAGGGCATTGCTCGGATCCAAGAAAAAGACAAAGAATGTCAAAGATCTTCAGTCAAACAGCCACTTCCAGTAGCCTTCTCTATTCTTCTTCGACGTCAGCAGCTACAAGCGCACGTCAACCTTCTCTCTTCTTCATCGATGTCAGCAGCTACTAGCTAGCGCACGTCAATTTCTCTCTCTTCTCCAACGATGTTAGCAGCTACCAGTGCACGTCAGACTTCTCTCTTCTCCAACGACGCTAGCAGCCACCGGCGCGCGTCACACTTCTCTCTTCTCCAACGACGTGAGCAGCCACCGGCGCATGTTAGACTTCTCTTTTTAAAGTTTCTAGTTTCCAGCTACTGCCCAAGCTTCCTTTTGCTTCAGCCAGAATTCAGCTTGAGGGGGATGTTAGACAATAATGTTAAGTATTCCTAGTTATGGTAGAAGTTGTATTTTAGTTAGTTTCCATTCTCTATTTCTAGTTGTGTTAGGAGTTTCTCCTATATATAGTCTATCATGTACTCTATAATTCGAGGAACAATGTTATAATTCCAATATTTTCAACAGGGGTGAGAGGAAGTTTATTTGGAGTTAAAAAGAGTAGGAATCCTTAATTTTGCATTGGAACCATCCGGTCCTCCCATACCTCGCAAATTATATTATACATCTGGCTGTACCTAGAGATAGGTACATCCGGCGTTTAATAGGGGCGAACGGGAAGGAATCGGCGATGAAGGGCGATGAAGGAGGCTAGCCGATGGGAAATTCGCGAGGATCTGTGATGCTGTGCGGATCGACGATGATGATGATCGATGATGATGTGAATATTTGTTCTTCCGTTCGATTTCCGTTCAATTTCCGTTCGATTTTGGGATGATGGGTGATGATGGTGATGAAGGAAGACCAGGTTCAGTAGAATTAAGATCTTGGGAATAGAGGTTAGGGCATGAACTGTGATAAGTAGTTGAAGAATAAGTACTAAGTTGTGTGGGTATGAGTACTACTGGATTTTAGAATGTGTATTAGATTATTTGTAAATGAACTCTATAAATGTGTGAAAATGAGTACTACGTTTTTCTAGAATGAGTAAATGATTTTGAAAATTAATGCTTATATTGATACGAGAATGAGTACCACTTTACTTCAAAATGAATACTACCCGAGTGTACCTATCTCTAGGTACATCCGAATGTACCATATACACTCTCCCCATACCCGGCTAAACAATGTCATGAGTCATGACTCATGATAACTAGGTGCATCTATATTGCTTAACAAGAAGTCAACATCTACCATGAACTGGCGGTCGATCGGAAGTACGGAGTTCTGTTCATTTCTTCCCGAAGCAAACCAAACGACGTCGTTGATCCCTCTCCTGTCTCCCTTCTCTCGCTCCGTCGGTGCCCCTCTCCCCCCGCCCAACGCGCTTCCAAATCCTACCCTGTCTCCCTTCATTGTTTCAGATCTCTCTTTCTTCTCTTCCCTCTTTCAGAGTTCTCAGGTTTCCATCTTCGCTGATCGAACGCTGCATATAGACGCTTTCCCGTCACATTTACATCTGTACGCATACCGCACATTGGTGCTGAAGCAATTTCTCGACCGGTGATCTTTCAAATGCGCGCTACCGGTAGCGTTTACTGATTCGGCTCCCCGATTCATTCACTGCTTCGTAGGGAGGAGATGGCGGCCGTTTCCGGACCTGTGACGCCTGGACAGGTACAGTTTCGAAGCTTTAGTGTAATTCTTACTCCGCGTTCGTATGATTTTGTTGCATTTCGTTCGGAGATTAGGAAATAGTGAGCTCAAATGAAGTTAGCATAAGTTTGATATGACAATTAGATGATGTTAGAAACATAACCTGCAAGTAAATCATGTAAATTTGTGGACTGTGGCATGGAGTCGATTATCCGGTGTTCAAGTATGTCCTGTGGAAGAAACTCAATCTCTGAATGTTAGCAGTGGAGTCTTTTTTTTTTAATTTAAGAAACGGACTTAGCGAACTGTAATATTGTCTTCTATGATTTGGTTAATATACTGTTTTGGTTTGAACATGTTCATTGATGCACCTTGTGATGTTCTCAGATTCCTGAGCACTAACTGAAAGACTCTTTCAACTCACTTGTTTTCTCAAACCTGAATTATCATTTAAGTTAATAATTTGAGCATATTTCTATTGATTGTTAGGGATATGAATCTGCAGATGCATACTTCATATTTTTCTGAAGTGTAACTTTCTTTTTTTTGCTATGCTCTATTCATAACTATATCTCTCTTCTCTTATCGTCTGCTAATGATGTACTTTCTTTGTTCTAAACTATTCCTCCATTTTGATTTTTTTATAGGAATTTTGATCATTAATTCAATTAAAAGTGCATTTCATGCTATTTCTTTGATTTTTTTTGATAATTTTTTGTAAGATAAACCTAATGAAATCGTTTTTATTATATTAATATGCAATGCAGTTTTTATTTGATTGATAATCAAAGTTCATCTTGTTTGACCTTACTTGGACTGAATACTTTGGATGGAAGAAGTATTCCGTTTCTGCCGTGCACACTTGTTTTGTCATGGTAATTTCTCACACTGTTGGCTGATTATGTTTCAGGTGTCGTTTTTGTTTGGAATTATCCCTGTTATCATTGCATGGCTATATGCTGAGTTGCTAGAGTATAAGAAGTTATCGTCACCTTCTAAAGTGTAAGTTTGCTTCATGAAATTGTGAACTTGTCTCATTAGCTTTATGTACGAGGGAATTCATCAATAGCATGAGAGATAGAAACATTTTGCTGACATACTAGAAAGTCCAATTTTTCTTTCTAATTGGCATTGAGGTGTCCTGAGATAAGAATCTTCAGTGGCTCACTGCAATGTTAAGTAAATTCATGAGCGATTGACTGGAGCCATGATATTTAGTTAGCATCTGTTCAAGTAGCTGATTTTCAGCTTCTATTTTGACTTTCTAATTTATTGACAATGAGATAGAATTCCAATTTGTAGTGCCTGTTTTGATTTTAAAATATTAATTCAATGTTTACTTTGAGTTACTAGTGAAATGGCAGATCTAGGAAAGTGTTGAGGTGAAGTGAGGGAAGTAAATGTACAGGTCTATTTACCTATGAAAAGGCTATCTAGTTTGGATACAAATCATGTTTATTATTTTCAAGAAAGAGGATGAATTAAAGGGTAAACTAATGCTTAGTATTCTTTCGTTGATGGAAATATGTGTAATTTGGTACCTACTCTCAGAGTTTAGACTAAAATTACCATTACACTTTTTTATTGTTGGATACTCGGGGCGCAGGCATTCAGACTCTATCCTGACTGAATTAGGAAATGAAACAGTCAGGGAAGAGGACCAAATTGATTTGCTTGAAGGAGGTCTGTCAAAATCTGCATCGTTGAAGGTGCAGAGTACAGCTGTTAAAGCAAACTTAATTAGGTAAGATTTTTCTACTATACATGCCTTAATGAGGGATTCCCTCCTGGCCGGTTGACTTGTATTGATCTAAATCATCATTTTTTTGTTTTTTTCTAGGTTTGTCACGATGGATGAGGCATTCTTGCTTGAAAACCGGGCCACTCTGAGAGCAATGTGAGCTGTGAAAATTTGGTTAAGTTACATATAATTTATACCACATTTTACTTATATTTGACCTTACAATCTTATTTAGGTCCGAATTTGGGGGCATCCTGTTTTACTTTTACATCTGTGACCGGACAAATATTATTGGTGATTCTACCAAGGTGGTTTTTTAGCCGATGATAACTTTTCTACAATACTTTTATATTTTATATTTTCATTTACTAGGATAAATGTATGACCTATAAACATTATCATCAACAGTTCAGCACCTTAATCTTATTATGACCTCTTAATTCTATAACTTCATGCAAATAGCATAATGAAATTGTTATACGCCAGATGTCAGACACTATGCTTCTAGATTTTTATGACTGAATAGAAAATTCTTGCTGCCACTATAAAAGTTAAATTATTTATACATGCGGTCATGCATATAAAATATAATGAAGTGGGTATGAATTGAGATATTTGATATTTTCATTTCCATTACATAATTGATATTGCAAGGCCAAGATGCAAATCACGGATCATGACAAAGATGTGTGACTTCTAAGTTTTAATGTAATTGGAAATGTGTAGTGCATGAGAAGTTACGATTTTATGGTTTCTCAATTTGGCAAATATGTAGTGTGTTTTTTGTAAATTGAAATTAGCCCTTCATTTCACATTATCTGTTCATTCATATTCTTTTTATGGGGCTTTGCGGTTGTACATCAAGAGTAACTAAGAGACATGTTTTCCTTAAATTCATAGTCTTTTCTCCCTTGTTCCTGATTTTAAGCTCTTTATGCCTATTGATTAATATGGCTAAATTGTTATTATTATGCAAAGATGGCAAAGTTTATGTTTTTACTTGTTCCATACCAGACTGTGACAGTGGTAATGTTGTGGTTTTCTTTGAACAGCACTATAATCGCGATCTCTTCATCTTCCTGTATCTTCTTCTACTGATAGTTTCAGCAATGACGTCTCTGAAGAAACATCATGACAAGTCATCTTTTTCTGGGAAGTCAATACTCTATCTTAATCGCCATCAAACCGAGGAATGGAAAGGATGGATGCAGGCAAGTCTTTCACGATGTTTTCTTTATCTAGAATATTTGGTTTTTAGTAATCAAATAGTTTTGTGCTAATTTTTTTGGGTGAATGTGGTACGTATTGGGGCTTTTTACTAAAGGGAATTTATTTTTCTTTGGAGAAATGAAAAAAGAGTTTTTTAAACCTTTTCTGTTTTCCTATCTAGCAACGAAAAAAACATGTTTACCTTTTTTCCCCCCATCTTTTGAATCCAGAGCATCAGCTTATTGTACATGTTTACCTTTTCTCTTTTTTAAGTTTAGGAAACAGAATATTGTTCTCCAATTTTCTAGGTTCTCAAAATCCTTGAAAGCAGTCTTCTGAATTTAAAACCAATTATACCAATGACAACTACGATCACATACGTAGTCTACCGACATGGACCTCTATCACGATTACTTACCTCCCACCGAAATCGTCCTTTGCCCCATCCACTGACCCCTCATGAAGCATGAAACACCATTGCAATCTCCACCACAAACAACTTTTTATATGGTCACCACTATTAACCATTGATATCAATGACTACAAACAACTATTGCTATTGGCAGTGTTGTCAACCATTGATAGCACTGGCGAATGTCGCTGCCATCCACTACTTATAACCACCAATGTTGAGATCGTTGACCACCACTACTATTGGCACCCACTGCTAATGATCACTATCACTGAGACACTCAAATGCCATTGGTCGCTGCCGTCATCAACCGTACCACCCTACTGCCGTCATTACCTGATTACCATCAACTGCCACAACCATTAACTGCCACTGCTCTCATCCACCACCACCTATCACTGCAGTCGACCAACACCGTCAACTCCACCGCCACCATTGACTGCCGTCACCGTCACCGAGGTATTGACTGCGGCCTTCTACTGCTACCAATTGCCACTGCTGACCCCCCTCATGTGGTCTTGACATTACATGTTATACATTAGAAAATATAAACATATGCTGGTAAATATGCTCTCCAAATTACGGAAAAATAGAAACCAAAGAGTGGAAAACTAGAAAAAAATTAAAAGTGAAAAAAAAGACAACAGAAAATTTAATTAAACATACTTATTATTTTGTGAGATTCTTATAAATTCCTTCATTTGCAGACACACACACACTCTCCTGCCTCTTTCCTTCCCCTTTCCATACTATCTACTACTCAGTTCTATTCATACTCCAGTTTCTTGATTCATTTGTTTTTGCTTGTCAATTTCATTGCAATTTTTCTCCCAATATCTTGTATTCTCCTCATTGACCCGTTGGTTCCAGACTTCCGGAGTAAGGTTTGATGTTATCATTGCATCTTGTTTCATGTTAGTTGGCATTAGTCAGTTGCTTTCTATCTAAGACCAATATCAAACTGCATTTCCATTCAGTACCTTATTTTTCTTCAGTCTTCACATATTTATTAACTTACTATCTCGCTGCTGGCTGCACTGCTAACACACTATGACATCTCTTGATTGCATCAGGTCCTCTTTTTAATTTATCACTACTTTGCAGCAGTAGAGATATACAATGCAATTCGCGTTTTTATTGCTGCATATGTCTGGATGACTGGATTTGGGAATTTCTCCTACTATTACATTAGAAAAGATTTTAGTGTTGCTCGATTTGCTCAGGTGATGTACAAATTCATTATCTTAAATTTCAAAATATTTACCTAAAAAATTCAAAATATTTAATATACATCACTAATATTTGATTTCGTACATTCTATGCAGATGATGTGGCGCTTGAACTTTTTTGTAATATTTTGCTGTGTTGTTCTTAACAATGATTACATGCTTTATTATATTTGCCCAATGCACACTCTTTTCACTCTGATGGTCTATGGGACACTTGGCATTGCTCACAACTATAATGAGATAAGATCAGTGATGGTTGTCAAGCTTCTTATATGTTTTATAGTGGTTTTTGTGATTTGGGAGATTCCTGGAGTTTTTGAAATCATATGGAGTCCTTTCGCTCTTATGTTAGGTTGGTAGCTGCCGTGCTGTACTACATTTGTTAATAGATGTGTGTATATGCTTTTTATGCTAGATCAAACTACTATCAATTGACCTTTTATTCTCTGTTATGTTAGGGTATACTGATCCCGCAAAGCCAAATCTCCCTCGTCTGCATGAGTGGCAATTCAGATCTGGACTTGATCGCTACATATGGATTATTGGGATGATATATGCCTATTTTCACCCGAATGTATTGCTTACAAAAACTTCTCCTCTACTCTTGCTCATATCTCTTTGTTTTTAATAATTGATCTGTGCAGGAATCAATATTTTAGTTTTTTTGTAGGTTGAGAAGTGGATGGAGAAATTAGAGGAATTTGAAACTAAGAGGAGACGTACAATCAAGACAGCAATTGTTACAATTTCTTTAATTGTGAGTTTCAATTTCTTTAATTGTGAGATGTGATTTCTCTCAGTCTCGAAATCAGTAACATAGCTGTTGCAGCCTAAATTTATTTATTTATTTTTTCCGTTTCCTGTCATCAAGCCATTCTCTACCTTTCTGACTTGTAGGTTGGATATTTGTGGTTTGAATATGTATACAAGCTCGACAAAGTTACCTACAACAAGTATCATCCATATACTTCATGGATTCCTATCACGTGTGTATCTCTCATTTCTATTTTTAGTACTTGTAATCTTTTCAACTCGTTAAGCAATTTTTAATCAATGGTTTCTGTTAAAGAATTAGTTTGCCATGCTAATATAAATTTCATAGTAGATTTAAGCAAGCTTATTAAGTAAAGTAGGTAAAATGAAGAGAGGGAATATTATCCTAATCCTTCCGTCCTAATTTATCTTTCCCATTTTTTTCATTACATGGTTCATACTATTTCTCTCTCCGCACAAATACCAACCACAGAGTGACACAGTTTACCCTTTCTTGATATCTGTGCTCAGTTCAAGTTGGTTTCATTAATTCTGACAGAGGGAGTAATAATTTAGTTAGTAGTGAATGAGATAAGAAAGAAAGAGTAGATAGGTGGTAGATGTATTGGAGAGATTGATGCACACGTTTCTTTTTTGCCTGTCCCAAATAAACTTCACAGTTCTCCAAATTTCTTTTTAAGGAAAATAATACGTGGCTCAAAACATTTCATTCATCTAAACAAATTCGAACTGCACTTGTAACTTTTCTACACTTCTTAAACTCTGAAGTAATTACACATCCTAGTAATTACACTGTAGTATCCAAACACATCCTAGTAATTACACTGTAGTATCCAAACACATCCTAGTAATTACACTGTAGTATCCAAACACATCCTTAAAAGAAAAAGAAATTACTGTTGAGTTTGTTTTGAGATTTCCATTTAAGGAATAGATAATGTTTTAAAGGGACATAAGAACCTAAGGAGTACAATTGTACATAATGCAAAATGATACAACGAAAGGCTCAGTGTTCTACTTCTTATGGTACATTTTTTCAATTCTTTCCAGTGTTTACATTTGCTTGCGAAACTTCACTCAGGAGCTCCGGAATGTCTCACTCACTTTTCTAGCGTAAGTTTCCTTGACCTATTTTTTAGTTGAGGTGTTAAGCGATGAATCTGTGCACCTTTGCTCATTCATGTTTTATGTGATTTGTCATTTAATGATTGCCAAAGATTCTTATTGTTTTACTTCTCTAATTATGGGTTCTTGTTGATTTAGGTGGCTTGGCAAAATAACCCTGGAAACCTACATTTCCCAGTTCCACATCTGGCTGAGGTGTGTACATTTGAGTGTTGTTTAACCAGTAGTAGTTATTCTTTATATTCCATTATTTGTAGACTGTAAATGTCACTTGTTAGGGTGAATTGAATCTTTTAGCCCTTGTTTGGTTCAAAAGAAGGGAGGGAAAGGGAAGAGAATGCCCGTTTTTTTAAAAACTTTGTTTGGTTCAATTAAAGAGTGAGTAGGAATCGTATCAAAGAAATTATGTGTTTAAAATGCTTTTTGTAATTAAAAATATATTAATTCACATGCATAAAACAAATTAATAAACAAATTTGGTTTAAAAAGGTGAAAGAATTTAAGAAAAAAATTAACTCCCCGAAAACCTTTGAAATTGGGAGCGTGACATATGACCAGTTTGAAGGATCTTCCTAGCTCCTCTATTTTTCATCTTTTTTCAAAACTGTCCCCCAACCAAAAACACATTCCTAAACAAGCGTTCAGGCTATAAAATCTTAACTTTTAGTGATCTGCTATAGGTTGCAACTCATTATGTTTCTTTTGTGAAGATTATTTGATCCTATAATAGAGGCTGGACTTCGACGTTCACCTTTTAAAATGTTCGCAACAATCATGCTATCCATCCGTTCTAATTCTTTTATCCCCACCTAACTTTTCTTGGTCAAAATTGTAAACTTTGACCATGGTTTGCGGGAAAAAATATTGAGTTACAATATAAATTTTATATCATTAGATTCATTTTGAAATATAATCTTGTAATATCATATTTCATAATATTCATGTATGTATAAATGTAGATGTTGAAGTGTTGCATTGAAAATTGTGAAAAGTCAAAATTTAAATGAAAATTTTAGGACAAGTGGAGCATTATAGATATACGACACAGTTTTTGTCCATTTTTAACTATTTGATCATCCCACTATTTTAGTCACATTTTATATACAACAACCCAGTTAAATCCCACAAGAGTAGGGAGTAGGGTCTGGGGAGGGTGTGTGTACGCAGACCTTACCCCTACTCGAAAGTAGAGAGGCTGTTTCCAAAGAGACCCCCGGCTCAACGTCAAAAGTTGTATTGCTTGACTAACTGCTACTTCATTAATTAAAGAAGCGCAGACATTTTAGAGATCCATTTTGATTTATTCTATCACACCCCAAAGCCAAAAAATGGTGAAATTTTGGCTCCATCGGAGATGATGGAAAATTAGTCACATTTTATATATGGAGAAAAATTGTGACGACATTCATTCTTACCATTTCTTCCATTTTCTTACCTTTTAACATCAGTATGAACTACACAAATCTACTTTTTAAATTCTCGTGCCCCTACCACATGCCCAAAAAATAGTGGGATGGAGTGATGGAGGAGTAGATTGTTTACAAAATTTATGCTGCATGTTTCTGTAGCTTTTAAGAAATTGGCCCAACTCCATTAATAACATGGAGCTGATTATGGCTTTTGTTCACAATCCATAACCATAAAGCCTGACCATATGTGGCAAGCATAGCATATGGAGGTTATATTTGGTAGAAATTAGCATGGTTATACATAAAAACAATCATACTTCCTGCTTGAGGAATTTATAGATATTTTAGCATTTATAAAATCAAAACTAATATTGCATTCCTCTCTTTTAACCATCCCTGCTGAGGAAGTGGCCTGATTTAGCCGTGGGTGCCGCCTTCGATTTTGAATAGGCATGCCCAGCCTGACCTCTCCCAGGGCCCACCTATGGGCTTGGCTCTAGTCTCCCACCTGCCTAGTGTTTTTTAGGAATTAGTGAGTTTGAGCTGATTTCTCTTATATTCAATGCTACAAATTATGCATAATCTCATTTTGAAATATGTGTGCAGATCGAATATGCCAAATGGACAACCTAAGTGGCTTCTTTGTTTTATACCTGACTATCCTATGCTCAATTTCATGCTGACTACTGCCATTTATGTCTTGGTATGCCAATCTTATCCACCTTCTTTATTCTTCTCAAAATGAGATCCTAAAATTTCTTAATTCCTTCATCGTGCCGTCACACTTTTTTTGGGTTTGCAGGTATCTTATAGGCTTTTTGAACTCACCAACACACTCAAATCAGTTTTCGTGCCCACGAGAGACAATAAAAAACTGTTGTACAATTTTGCTGCTGGGGTTGCGATTTCTGCGTGTTTATATTGCACTTCTTTCATTCTTCTTCAAATTCCTCATTAACAAGTAAGTTTCCTTAGGACAGGCATCAATCATAGGTAGTCAGCCAGCCTGATTCTCACACATGATAATTGGGTCGGCCGGCTTGATTAAGGCCAGGTATCAGTTACACCTGGCCCGAGAGGTGGGCCAACCCGGGCCCACCCGAGGAAAAAAAGTTGCATCTTTCTCTTACATTTCTTGTTCGTATTTGAAGAATTGACACTTAGTAAGAATAATTGTCTTTCTCTATGAGAATGCAGGCCCGATTTGAATGATTTTGAACATTGAAAGCGTCCCTTGCCCAGCCAGCATATATAGGAAAGACGTGGAAATAGAATTTATTTTTAACGATGGAAGAAATTGCTTCCAAGGCGTATACTCCGTATAATATATACACGCAGAGGTTATTGTTGCATCGTCTTTGAAATTTGAAATCGCACGGGGGCAGTTGTTGGGAGTGGAAATTTGTTGCAGTTTAGCCAGGAAAGATCTGTATAATTTCTTTCAAGAATACAATGGCACTATCATAGTTACAGTGTACCACTGTATTCTTTGTATGGAAACCCACGTATCATTTCCTTTTATGTCTCTCTTCACACACAATTCACACAAGTAGGGGTGGGATCCTCTGTCCCAATTCTTGTGTACGTCATTCATTCTTCTATTTTTTGAGTAAATTTTCAAAAAAGAAATCACCCCAAATAAGAATAGAACAGGGAGAAAGTATCAAATTAAGAGTTTTATATTTTTATTTTCTAAATAGAAGCTTGCATTATGATAATGCGATACTGTACATGTTATTTGACTATATTTTTTGGTAATGTAAATGGTCATGATTGGTAATTTAAAGGTACATAACTCCTACTTCGGGAAAAATATAGAATTCTTATTATGATATATTTTTAATGTTTTACTCTTATTTTAGTGTTTTTCCTTTCCAAATTTGTTTTTTCTAATAAAATGTTTCTAAAATTAGTTCTCAATAAACAATGGCTATCAATGTTGTTCTTTGTAATTAAAATATATTCCTTAAATAGTCTTTTATAATTCTTCATAGGGTATTCTTTATTTTTCATCATCTAAACTATAAATAAGTTCACAAAATAATTCTTTCAAATTAAGTGGGTTTCTATTAAAGGAATGAACCCACCTCAAGTTGGCTCATGGAGTCTATTTTGGAAAATTTTAATTATAAAAGAACATCTTGAAAATATATTATAAGTCTAGATGATACTCTACCGTTTTTCAAAACGGTTCCTCTTTTGACTTTAGGGAAAATAAGGAAAGTGTAATTTTAGTTGACTTTCCAATTTTGCCCTTGATGTGATGAGTAAAAGTAAGATGTGATAGTTTAGTTATTAGTGAAAAAGTATGATGTGATAGATAGGGTATGAAAAAGTAGGAATAAAAGTAGTTTTTTAATAGAAAAAGGAAGTGTTTTAAGAAAAACAAAAAAAATGAAAAAGGAAGAGTTTTAAGAAACAGAGGGAGTAGAAAATATCAAAATATCTTTTATTTTAAAATGATAGAAAATACATTTCCGATAGAGGACCATTTAGAAAATAAATTTAAATTATAAAGGACCACAGATGTCATTATTGTTCATTGAAAGATAATTTAGAAAAAGATTTTATTAGAAAGAAGTAGAGCTGGCAAATCGGTCGGTCAGGTCGGGTTCGGGTTCGGTTACTTCAAGTTATATTATAAGTCTAGATGATACTCTACCGTTTTTCAAAACGGTTCCTCTTTTGACTTTAGGGAAAATAAGGAAAGTGTAATTTTAGTTGACTTTCCAATTTTGCCTTTGATGTGATGAGTAAAAGTAAGATGTGATAGTTTAGTTATTAGTGAAAAAGTATGATGTGATAGATAGGGTATGAAAAAGTAGGGATAAAAGTAGTTTTTTAATAGAAAAAGGAAGTGTTTTAAGAAAAACAAAAAAAATGAAAAAGGAAGAGTTTTAAGAAACAGAGGGAGTAGAAAATATCAAAATATCTTTTATTTTAAAATGATAGAAAATACATTTCCGATAGAGGACCATTTAGAAAATAAATTTAAATTATAAAGGACCACAGATGTCATTATTATTCATTGAAAGATAATTTAGAAAAAGATTTTATTAGAAAGAAGTAGAGCTGGCAAATCGGTCGGTTAGGTCGGGTTCGGGTTCGGTTACTTCAAGTTCAGGTTATTTCGGGTTCGGGTTAATTCTGGTTCGGGTTGAGAACTGTATGTTCATGACCCAGTGTCATCGGGTTCGGGTCGACCCAACGGGTTATGACTTTGATTTTTTAAATTTTTAAATTCATATTAACACTTACATTTTCTATATTTATTTAAATTTTATATTTTTTTTCATGATTTAGATATTTTAATATAATAAAATTTGAGATTTCATCAAAAATCTATATATTTAGTTATATTCCTTAAATTTTTACAAATTCAAAACCTTTTATCATTCTATTAATACGTTATAGTAATTTTAAAACAGACTTTTATATTTAAATAACACTAAAAACAAGTAAAAAAGTGTATAATTTTGAAAAATTCTTAGTTTAGCGGGTCGGTCAGGTCGAGTTCGGGTTCGGTCGGGTTTGACCCATTTTTAGCGGGTCATTTCGGGTTCGGTCAACTTCGGGTTCAGTCATCAAAACCTTTGTTCAAAACCCAGTGTTTTCAGGTCGGGTTTCAGGTCAAAAACAGGTCGGGTCACTTTTTACCAGGTCTAGAAAGAACGGTTTTAGAAATTCACTTGTTACAAATGAATATGCTAGCCTTCAAACTTTAAATTACCAAAAAATCCCCTTAAATATTCCTTGGGCATTGATTTTTTTGTGTTCTTTTTTTTTCATTTGTTTCATTAATTTTTGTTTCTAAAGAAAGGGGCCACTTGTGATTATTTCTGAAAAAAAAACCCAACCATACTTTTTTTAAATAAAAATGCATGCTATTATTAAAATAAAGAAAGTCTAGGTGGTTGGAACCGTCTAACTCACAAAGCATACTTTTTTTGTTCCACTTTATAAATAACTACTCCTTCCATCCCAATTTTGATTATAATTTTTTCTCTCTTTTCGAAACTTTTATTTGTTTGTGTGCTTTCATTAATTATTTTGATAAAATAAAATATTCTTATTATATCTAATTTTGTAAAACTTTTGACGTAGTTTTTTAATATATAGTTTTCATTTTTTATCGATATATCAATTTGTAAATAAAATAATTTTGAAAATACGAATAATTTCACCTCAAAAATTTTAATTTGTAATCAAATATGGGACAGATAAAGTTAAAAAGAGATTCTTATACTCCGTATAAGAAGATCTGATCGACGAAAAATGAATATCATGTCCAAAAAAAGTTAAAAAACACTCTTGAACTAAAGTAAAAAGCATTCCTACTTTTTTTTTAGTTAAGAAAAAGCTAACGTAGTACTCCTGTATTTTGTACGGTCAAAGCCATTATGCCAAATGACAGAAAAAAAGGCCAAACTGTTTTTTTTTGTCGCCCAAGAAATGACATTGCAATCATTGAAAACAAAATTGAAATGTAAACTGACCATATTCTTCTCTCGGAAATTAACGAAAAAAATCGAGAGTTATGTATAACACATTCAGATTGAATATTTTGGTTGCTCATTCCAAAATTCAATTGGATAAAACTCGAAGGTATCAAGAACGAGTATGAATTGCTATGAAATTTCCGAACCCCCGCCAAGGGGGCGCTGAGCGCCCCCTTGAAACCCCCGGTGTAACAGGATTTTTATCGTAACAAACTGAATGAAGCGTGCACTCTGCACCACCAAACTTCTTTGATGATTATTAGAATATCATTGGTCATAGTTTTTTCAATTACACTAAAATATATAACAATTCCCTCCCTCATTCTTGATACTGTGTGTATCATAGGAATCCTCACAAAAGAGACGGAGTTATAGTCTCTCCCATCAATTTCAATTAAATATTTCGATTTATAATATTTGATTGACGTTATTTTCAATATAATTCATTTGAAAATTGAAGTTGAATTAAAGAATAAAATTAATATACTCCATCCGTTTCATAAAAAAGTTCCTATTGTAGTTGACTTTCTAATTTTTTACTTTTGATGTAATACATAAAAGTAAGATATGATGAATAGATTATTGGTGATAAAGTATGATATAATGGGTATGGTAAGAAAAAGTATGAGTAAAAGTGATTTTTTGATAGAAAGAGAAATAAAATAGAAAGTGTTTTAAGAAGCGGAGAGAGTATTAAAATGCTACATCAAAAGTTTTACGAAATAATGTATCAAATTAGTAACAAAAATATGGAAAGAAAATAACAGATAAGTTTGACCATTTGAATAGTACTCTACATGTTCCAATTTAAATGACATGTTTACTATTTATAGAGTCCAACTATATTTACTTTTTTTGTTTGTAATTCGATAAAATAATGTAGTCATATCACCACTAATTTTTTAAATCTTTTGATGTACTGTATTTTTTAAATATGTAATTTTTATTTTTTAATTATACACTATTTTTAATTTAAAATGATTTGAAAATAGCTTTAGTAAAACATTGTAAGCTGAAAGAGACAATATACATTGGGATGAAGGGAGTAAATATATACTCCATTGTTCTCAAAAACACTTCCTCTTTCATTTTTTCACTTCCAACAAAACACTTCCACTTTCTAATAAAAAACCATTTTTACCCTTACTTTTTCATAACCTACCTATCACATCAAGGACAAATTAAAATTGGAAGTCAACTACCATTTAATAATTCCTTATTTTTACACAAAATCAAAAGGGGAACAGTTTTTTCAAACGGAAGGATAACTTTATTTAGAGCGAAGGGAGTACGTGTTTTCCCCTTCTCATATTTAAGTCAATTTTGTACTTCACAAAGTTTCCAAATAATCATAGAAAGTAAAAAAGTGTTTTGTTTGGATTTTTCGAAGAGAAAGAACATTGTGACATGGAGTATAATATTCTCCATATATTCTTTACATTAAGAACTTTAATTATGAAAAGCCTAAAATGAAAATTCTGGACCGAAAGCACTACGTGAAAGTACACAGCATTGCGTTAAAGTGAAAATTAATTTAAGAAAATTAAGATGTCTAGTGGTATCCTTGCAAATTAAAGCCATTTTCTATGGTTTTTTTCAAGAAGAAAAAAAAAAAGAAAAGAAAAAAAACAACTTCTATATGGTCAATACTCAATATACTCCGTTTTATTTATTCTACCTACAAGAAAAAAAGTCACGTTATGCAAAACAACATTTTCCTAAGGTTAAAAAAACCTAGCCACTAGTAGATATGAGACCAGGGATTTGAGGCTACCCCATCTTCAACTTGTAAAGAAAAAATGTCTCATTTTTAAAAAATGTAACAAAAATGGACCCCTTGCTGGAATTTCAACAATCTGGCCGGCGAGCGTACATCTGCGTTCTACATACCCTTCTGGTGTATATGTCGCATTCCATATGACTTCCGAATTGACTCGTAATTTATCTAATACTCCCTCCGTCCCAGAGTATTTGTCCACTTTTATTTTTACACACCATCCAATGCACTTCTTTAATCCATTTTATCTTGTAATTTGTATATTAAAAAATTATAGAAATTATATATTAATAATCTATATGTTAAGACAAATCAAACAAGATCACACATGACTATATTTAGGCTTACACATTGAGAGAATTTGATGAGTCAAAAAAGCTTAGATTAACAGTTCCAAAAGTCAAAAGTGGACAAAAACTAGGGGACGGAGGGAGTACTTGATTAACTATGTATTTAACACATAAGTCATTTTTTATAAAAAAATTTATATAAGATACTTCATATTTTAAACATAAGTATCAATAACATTTTAATAATTGTCTATAATATTTTTAAAAAAATTTATTTGAAATTTTCTAAAATTTAAATTCTAAAAATATGTATTATTATTACTACTACTATGATCATCATCATTATCGAGTATTATTGATACGTGTAATGAGTTTTTATAAGTTATCTAAGTATATTTTAGAAGAGACGTTTATGCAATATCGTGTTTATTTATCTATTAAAATTCTAACTCCAAAATATTTTAGATATTTTAAAATTTAAATAAATAAGAAACATTGCCTTTTAAATTAAAATAAAGAGAAATATTCAAAAATTAATTGCTAGTTTGGTTTAAAATATTTTGTAAATATTAAAATATGATATTGTTGTATAAAGAAATTATAATTTAAGAAAAGTTAGGACATCACTTACAAAATTAATAATGTATATGAGAAGCTACAATTAATTTGGAAGTCATATGAGATGTAACATGTAAACCAGAAAGCTAAATAGAACATCACATGCATGTACACTCGCTGGCTGGATTCTTGAAATTCTTGCAAGAAGTACCTTTTTGTTACTTCCTCCGTTCTCAAAAACTCTTCCTCTTTCTTTTTTTTACTTCCACCAAAATACTTTCACTTTCTATTAAAAAACCACTTTTACCCTTATTTTTTCATACCATACCTATCATATCATACTTTTTCTCTAATACTCAATCCATCACATCTTACTTTTACCCATCACATCAAGGCAAAATTGGAAGTCATCTACAATTTAAAACTTCCTTATTTTTACACAAAGTCAAAATAAGAACCGGCCAGTCAAACTAGTTGCCCAAGTTTTTTTTCTTGCGTTTTTTTTCTAAATCATGCCTTTGTGGGGGTTTGAACACAAAACCCCTTAGACATTTGGTTGAATTTCTAGCCATTCAAGCAAGGGTGATTTTTGTTACAAGTTCACATAATCTTTTATAATATTTCATAATTAAAAAAAGATTGTATAAAATTTTTTTTTCAATTTTAAAAATATAATCCTTTATATATAAAAAAGGAGAGTGATTTCTGTGAGGCTTTTTTTTTTTAAAATAAATTTTATATTTCTTTATGATACATCTAAATAAATGAAGTTAGTTTGATAATATTTATTTAAATATTAACACCTAATAAATAAAATATTTCGTCACCTATAAAAAATTGCATTTGTTTTGAAACCTAATATTCCACCTAATTAGGACGTATAAAATGTGAAATTATCGTTATGGTAAGAAATCTTTGAATAAATTTAATTATGAAATAGGAAAATTCATTTTTTATAATAGTATTCTTTCCCAATTAATTTTTTTACTATTCATTTATAATTACACTTTTAATTAATTTTAAAACTACATTAAAGTATATTTTCATAAAATTTACTTTAAATAAAATTTAAAAACAATAGATGATTGAACTATAATTGTGTTAAATTAGAAAAATATATTATTCATAACTCCATAGTTAGAATATATTTTTTTGGATTTGATTTATCACAAGAGAATTTGTGTTTATAGTCCTCGGATGATTTATTATATAAATTAAAAAATATATTATGTTTAATTATCTTCTATTATATAATAAAATTGATTAAAAAATTGTGTCACCATGAAATGCTATGTTCAAGCTATGAATGTAAACATCCAAAATTTTCTTCACTTGATATGACTTTATTTTTAAACAGCAAAACAAATATAGTTGCACGGTTTTTCACAAAGAAAAATTACAAAAACATTTTAAAATAATTATAGGTATTTCACTTTTGACTTCATTGAAGTCACAACTATTACTTTTAAAAAAACACAAAAAATATTTGTATGAGATATATACAACAAAACAGTATTTGCAAAAAAAAAAAACAAATCACGTACTTTGCATACGTGAATTTATCAAAATTCAACATAGATGTGAAGTGGGGGATCAAAGGCGAGGTCATCCTCAATCGAAATTTACTATCGTGAACATGAGTGCCTAATAGAGGGACACAAAACATTAAGGTGCCCCTCAATGCACAATTAGGATAAAATTATAATTATTATAAAGGAGACCTAGATTAGAAAAAGGTTAATCTGAAATGGTCATTTTGAAAAATTACCCTACATTTAAATGTTGAAAATACCTAAATTTCCTCCACTGAACACCCATTTAATTAACAAACATATACGGATGACACTGAGTGAATAAATCTCAACTATAAAGTACTACATAGATAATTTATAATGCTTAATAACACCAATTTTGGAAAATACGTTATTCAAAAAGACTATTTTTATATTACTCAAATTAAAGAAATTTATAATTTATAATTAGGTGATTAAAAGACTTAAGACTATATTTTCTAAGGTAATTATACATGTCATGGTTATGTACTTTATTTTTAGACAAATGGATTATACATATACTATGAGATTGACTTAATGCATATCTTACATAGAACTTTTGTTTATGGTAAGATAACTAATTATGATATGAAATAAAAGTATTTACATACAATTTGACTATTTTTAAAATATTGAATATTTAAAATAAAAAAATTAGAAAAAAGATTTAATAAGACTTTTATACTTTGTCTAGGTAACTTGATTTACTATTTCAATCAAAATAATCTTATATTGTAACTTATGATTCTCATTACATACTTATATTGTGTTGCAATTCAAAATGTTTATACATAAAATAAAGAAATTTTGAATAAGAGAGAAAACTTCATAGGATGATATTTTATGAGGTGACACAGATTTATGCATAGAAAATTGTGACAAAGAAGATCAAGGTGTGGAGGGGAGCGTGAGAAGATTTGTGACAATGAAGATTTAGGATAATCAAAAAAGTAAGAAAAATTGTGCAGAAAATCTAAGGTGCAATATCTAATAAGTTCGAGACTCAGTTACAGGTTACAACCACATCAAAGAAAATATAATTTCCAATTTGTAACTATTTATATTTTAATAGAACATTTTATATCTTGACCATAATACTATCCTGACAAAATCATTGGAGCACTAACATTTTAATGTTTTTTAAAATCAATATGGGGGAGAAGAAGAATTGATTCTTAATATTTTAAAATTAAAATTTATAATCATAGAGATTTAGGATCACTAATTTAAGATTTTGTTTTTTTAATAATGCAAGAAAGAATAATAATTTTTTATAATCATTGTGTGGGAGGGGGTAGTTGGGATTATGGATAAAAAGAATCCTCTTTTTAATTACTATCTCCGTCCATGAGTATTTGTTCAGTTTTGACTTTTTTTGATTAACTGTTTTCAATATTTGACTTATAATTATATAAAAAATATATTATATATTAAGTACATAAAATAATATTTTGAAAATGAATAATATAATAAATCAAATAAAACTAATTTTTTAACAATATCTAATGTCATTATATTATTACCAATTTTGTTAAAAAAGTCAAAAGTGAACAAATACTCAGGGACAGAGGGAGTATATAATTATAATGTCGGTAATTTAGGTTTTTTAAAGTTAATGTGAGAAAAAAGAATCATTAGATCACTATTACTTTTTGTATTAATATATATTTTAAAATTTATATAGGGAGAAAATATTTAGATTTGTAGAAATACATCCAACCTAGATCATTTATATTTGACCTTGGAATATTATTCAAAATAAAAATCAAGATCCATATTGTATAACCGGGAAAAAAACTTGACCGAACCCGTGCATGGCACGAGTAGAAATACTAGTTTTTTAAATATGAGGTACATTTTTCGTTACAAGTTGAAGACGAAGTACCTTTTTGTTACAAGGTACAAAGATGGGGTACCTTCCATGAAAAAAGCCAGGATTTGATTGTCAATATATATTGATCTAGCATGGAATGCAAAACAATGACAAAATTGAATAAAATAAAATTTCATAAAGTTCAAAACATATACTCTAATATGTAATATGTAGGTACAACAACAATAATAACAACTACAATAATAGTTGTTTCAGTACGTAGAATCCCATGAAAACAAAGTCGGGAGAGGGTGTGTATACAAATATTATCCTTACTTGAAAACATATACTCCCTCCGTCACATGAAACATGAGACATTTGTTTTTTAGGAGAGATTTAAAAGAGTGTATTTTGATATTGAATTTCCAAAAATGTCCTTTGATGTGATGGGTAAAAGTATGATTTGATGGATAGATTATTAGTAAAAAGGTATGATGTGATAGTTAGAGTATGAAAAAGTAAGGGGTAAAAGTGACTTTTTAATAGAAATGAGAAGTGTTTTGTAGGACGGATAAAAAAAGAAAGGAGAAAGGTTTCATGGGACGGAGGGAGTATTTAATTACTACTTCTGCCGGAGCCGCCGGCCCGAGACAATTTTCTGGCAAAGGGAGCGTACAAAAAGCCGAAGACGGCGTGGACGGCGACCACAACCCCTCCGACGGCGGGAATCCACGCCGCACTGCACACGTTTGTTTCCGGGCGCGGGCGGCCGTCATAATAAGCGGCGGTAGTGTTATAATTAGTGCACACCTTTGCAATAGACGATGGCTTTTTCTCGAGGCGTGGCACTCCCATCCCAAGGAAAACACACCCTATCACCAGCATCAGCCTGCATGCATGCATCCATGCAAAAATAAGATATTTGTAATATAGGAGCCATGCTAGGAGTACATTATTTGGTGTGAAGAAATTAATCTTAAAAGGAAAAATAGAGAAAATATCAAAATAGAAACTCCATATTTTTATCTCCATATGTTTCATATTATTCTTCTCTTCTCTGATAAGTATAAACTTCTCCCATATGATTTCACATTTTCATAGTTTCCCGCGAATGCTAAATAAAGGGAATAGTATAGCTGCAATGTGATGATTTAGGCTATATTCTCTTCACCTGATTTGATTGATTTTGATCTGATCTGGTCTGGTCTGATCTGATCTGATTTGATCCGAATATAGTTATATTTAAAGCCATTTTTGATCTGATCTGATTCCAATATGAATAAGTAATAAGTAAAAAATAAGTTGTAGAGAACATGACTTTAATTTGACAAGTAATCATAAAAAATAGTATATATGTTAAATTTTACATATAAAACAATTTTTTTTATTATCAAAGGAAATGCATGTGAATGCAAAAAAAAAAAATAATTATGTAGGACCTAAAAAGAGACAAATATAAAAGAATTGAAGAACTTTGATCTTGATTACTACTTAAAAAGGATTAAGGAGAATGTATTTTAATATTGACTTTCTAAAAATGTCCTTAGAAGTAATGCGTTAATTAATAGTGAAAAAGAGTGACGTGATCAATAGATTAAAAATTAATAAAGTTAAAAGTGATTTTTTTAATAAAAACGAGACATATTTTTAAGAACGGATAAAAAAAGAAAAGAAAAAAAATTTTGTGGGAAGGATATGATGCACTATTAAACATCATCATGATCGATCACATACCATGTCATAAACTCAAAGAAAATTGTCCAATTCCTATGAGTTTTGGTTTCAGAGTTGTGGTCGCCATCACCATCCCCGCAGTGACAACAACTACCTGCCACAACTATAATGCACACATGAGCAATCACATTCAAGGTGATGGCTGCCCCCAGCGCCACGACAACGCCGTAGCCCGCAAAGCAGTCATATTTTTCACCACCACCTCCCACCACCACGCCGCCGCCGTAACTGCTCGCCGGGGCTGCTGCTGCCGGCGCACACACCGGCATCATCCTCTCATGCACCTTTACATACATACATACATACATACACATACATACATAAAACATAATTAGGTTCATTTTAAGTGCAAATGGTATGGTACCACCGGATATATATACAGTACATCATGACAAACTTGTAATTAAAAAAATGTTTCAAAATGAACTCTACGTTATTTTAGAATGAACACTACATTATTCCGATCCATATTTTAGAATGAACACACTACACTGAACATGCAATGCTTGGAATGACCAATACGTTGCTTCATAATGAAAACTATGTTGATTCAAAATGAGCATTTTGCTCGATGTACAAATTGACCCAAATGTACAATATATGCTCTCAATTTTAAGATAGACTTTTGATATATCAAATTTCTAATATGAAGTACTTCCTCTGTCCCGCAAACAAACTTCCATTTTGAATAGTATTTAGTCAAATATTTACACGCTTTGACTACAAATTATGAGAAAGGTATATTGAATTATAAAATAAATTTAATATAATTGGACTTTTAGGATCTAATTTTGATATCCCAAATTTTTTAGCATTTCTTTATTTAAATTATATTTAATTTATGGTCAAAATATGTAACTGTTTGACCAAAGATATATCAAAATGGGAACTTTTTTTGTGGACGGAGGGAGTATAACTCTTACTAACGAAATAATTAACTTTTGAGAGCTGAGGGAGGAAGTATTTACTTACCTTTTTAAATTTATAAGCTCCTCCAATCATCCCAATAAACGCTGCTAGAATATCCCCAACGGCAGCGACGATTATCCATCCGTTACGACAATTTCTATTCAAAGCAAAGAGTTCCATTGCTCTAATTTAATCAGCAGCGTCGTCGTCGTCGTACCGAGAGATTGATGGAGATGGAGAGCCTTTCTTTCTTTGGATGGAGATGATGATGATGATTTTTGCAAATAGGCATATATGAACCCGGAGCCCCGCCCCTTTAAATATCACTCCGGCCTCTCTCCTCGCCATAAAGAAGCTAAGTTCACACTACTTTGAGAAGAAAAAAAGATGATGAGTGTTAGAATATAAAGAACTGTTCCTGGACCACAACCACAAGCTTGAGCTTTTGGTTGAATTGGTTTCTTAACAATGAGCTTGTTAGAGTACATCCCACATCGAAAATCCAAGAGTAAAATAATCGGTATATAAGCTCTAGAGTTGAACTAAGTAATCGATTGGATTCAATCTTTTAATGTGGTTCAACCCAAGTGTCTTATTATCCAATCCAGTTATCCATACCCCATCCTAAATTCTATCATGGTATCGGAGCCAGTTTTAGCCCACCTCGTTTGTCAAGGTGTCCGTCTAGACGTTCATTCCTAGCGGCCCGTTAGTCTTTAGCCCAATTGTCCGTATGGAGGTTGTACCCAATGGCCTGCGGCCTGTTTAACACGATTGCTCGTCTGGAAGTCCATACCCAGCGGCTCGTGGTCCTTTAGGTGTTGGCGCTAAAAAAAACAAAAAAAAAAGGTCAAGGGAATGGGAGTTCATTTGCAAGTGGTCAACCGGTTAGATTCAAAATGGGCCGGTTGTCCACTTGAGGGGGAGTGTTAGAGTACATCCCACATCGAAAATCCAAGAGTAAAATAATTGGTATATAAGCTCTAGAGTTGAACTAGCTAATCGATTGGATTCAATCTTTTAATGCGGTTCAACCCAAGTGTCTTATTGCCTAATCCAGTTGTCCATACCCCATCCTGAATTTTATCAGAGCTACATCCCCGAGAGCTCACACGACTCGGCCGGACGGTTATTGAAGTAAATTAGACTTTCATCGCAGATTAGCGGCAAGGAGTGCAGCCTGCCTACACCTGGTAGTTGAAGAGTCTCTATGCTTAGCATAGTTGTCTCCCAATACAGCTGTCAGGAATCGAACTCGGGTCTTACCTCTTGGCATTCCTTGTCTTACCCATCACATCTAAAGATATTTTTAGAAACTCAACACCAAAATATACTCTCTTTAAATCCTTTTTTTTTAACCGAATGCAAAATATATTCATCACCGAAGAATATAGAAGTACAACAATCAGTATAAGTGAGCACCCTCACCGCACTATACAAAACCAAGCCTGAAATAGAATCTAGCTACTCAACTTAGCTCCTCTAGAATTCAAGAAGGTTGTAACTTGAAAAATAACCCATTTTACAGACATATTCTCTGTTATATAAATATTGTTATGCAGTACAGAATTCCTTGCTCTCCAAATTACATATACACACGCTGCGTATATAGCCGTAATCATCCATCTTATTCTAGTGGGTGTAATAGTCTTCAGCCTCTCCATGATTTCCCCGATTTCTTCAATGGTCGTTCCCTCAAAGCTGTACTTACACCATGTCTTTAATCCAAGATACATTGTCTGAGCATAGTTGCATCTACAGAACACATGCTGTATATTTTCCTCCCCATCCTTGCACAAGAGACAGTATGTATCAATTGGGAGAAATTTATCAAGCTTACTCTTTAAATCTCTCAAAAATAAAAAATCTCCCATTTTTATTCTTTTTTACACGGGTCAATATTTTTACTACCTACGGATCGAAGTATATTTTCGTTTACCTCCTCTCAGTGATCTTCCGATCGGGTCTGAGGAGACCCTTAGAAATGTGGCTCATCATTTTTGTATTCAATTATTACGTCGTCATTCTTTGGACCAAAAAAAAATAAGAAGAAAGATGAAGACATAATTAAACAGGTAGCCCCTTTTTCTGTATTTTGGCATAATGGCTTTGAGCTTAGAAGATACTCGATTACTCCGCAAGCTTTCTCAATTGTAAAATTTGCTCTAAATAGGACTAAAACATAATAATTTTTCTAATGTAGGACTTAAACTTTTTTATTCTCTAAATAGGACTTAATAATAGCCTAGTGGGAGGAATAATGTCCACTAATGATAGACATTTACTTGAATAATGACTACTTGATAATGACCAAAAATTCTACATTGAGAAATAAAAACATATAGTCCTATATTGAAAAAGTCATTATGTTTTAGTCATATTTAGGTAAATTTCTCTTTTCAATTCCTAGCAACGTAGATACAACGGGTACACTTTTGTTAAAGCATCTCCATTCTCTAATGGTCATTGCCAAAAATTCATTTTCCTTTAATTACTCCTTATTACGGAGTAATAGGAAAGAAATTACTCGTTTTACCAAAACATTTCTTTTAATTACTTCGTATTATGGAGTACTCCCTCCGTCCCGGAGTATTCGTCCAATTTTGACTTTTGGAACTGTTCATCTAAGCACTTTGACTCATCAAATTCTCTCAATGTGTAAGCCTAAATATAATCATGTGTGATCTTGTTTGATTTGTCTTAACATATACTACCTCCGTTTCTCAAAAGAGTTCCTCTTTTGACTTTGGGGGGAAATAAGGAAGTGTTAAATTGTAGTTGACTTTCCAATTTTTCCCTTGATGTGATGGGTAAAAGTAAGATGTGATAGTTTAGTTGTTAGTGAAAAAGTATGATGTGATAGATAGGGTATGAAAAAGTAGGGGTAAAAGTGGTTTTTTAATAGAAAGGGGAAGTGTTTTAAGAAAAACAAAAAAAATGAAAGAGGAAGGGTTTTAAGAAACGGAGGGAGTAGATTATTACGGAGTAATATATAATTTCTATAATTTTTTAATATACAAATTACAAGATAAAATGGATTAAAGAAGTGTATTGGATGGTGTGTAAAAATGAAAGTAGACAAATATTCTGGGACGGAGAGAGTATTAAGTTTCTTTTTTCAAAGTGTTACTCCTTTTTCTATCAGAATAATTCCTCTTTCATTTTTTCTGTGACTAAAACAATTCTACTTTCTATTAAAAAATAATTTTACACTTATTCAATCTTATTCTATCTATCACATTATACTTTTTCACTAATTTTTTACTCGTTAGATCTTATTTTTATCCATCATACCAAAGGTAAAATTAGAAAGTCAACTATAAATATACACTCCTTATTTTTTCCATCAGTCAAAATAGGAACCGTTTTGGTGAACAAAATGAGTACTATATTTTATATTCTTACCTCATTCAGGATTTTCGTTTAATCTATATATATATATATATATATATATATATATATATATATATATATATATATATATATACACACACGACTAATCATTGATTGTAACATAATTTACCTCCTATTAGGTGATCATCCGGCTAATTCTGACGGGGCCATCACATATGGGGTCCCCATCCTTTTTTAATAAATTTTGAGTGTTCAAAGAAACAAATTTGAGACCATCAAAACATTTGAGTCCACCCCATATTGGCTAAATGGACTCCATTTATATTGAATTAATAAATTTACTCTTAAAAATACAAAAGAAGAATTTTAGATGCAAAACATAGTACTAAATAATACTTCCTCCGTCCCAAAAAGATTTACACTTTTCAAAAAAATTGTGTCCCACAATCTCCTATCCATTTCTTTTAAAAAATCACTTTTACTCCTTATTTTTTCAAACACTACCTATCACATCATATCGTTTTTCTAATAATCTACATATCACATCCTACTTTTACTCATCACATCAAGGGTATTTTTGGAAAGTCAACACAAAATTTTCCATCCCTTAATTTCAACTTTAGTCAAAACGTGTAAATCTTTTTGGGATGGAGGTAGTATAAAACATATTTTTTTTCCAATTTAGTATCTAAACTTTTTATTTCTTAAATAGTACTTGAACGATGTTTAGTGGCGGGAATAATGTCCACTGCCCGTAATAATTTACTTTGAAAAATATCCAGTGGCAGTGGATATTTACTTTAATGTCCAGCGGACATTGATCAGTGATACTATATTAGAAAATTAAAATATATAGTACTACATTGTAAAACAGACTATGTCTTAGTAATATATAGATAATTCTCCTTTTGCCTCCCATTTTAACTAAATCCGCCACATCCCACATTTATACTCCCTCCGTTCCTTTACACCCTTCCACTTTTGACTTTTGGCAAAAATAAGGAAAGTGTAATTTTGGTTGATTTTCCAATTTTGCCCCTGATGTGATGGGTAAAAGAAGATGTGATAGTTTGGTTATTAGTGAAAAAGTATGATGTGATAGGTAGGGTATGAAAAAGTAAGGATAAAAGTGGTTTTTTAATAGAAAGTGGAAGTGTTTTAGGAAATTCAAAAAAAAATGAAAGGGGAAAGATTTTGTGGAACGGGGAGAGTATAACATTAAAGTTTAATGTAAAAAATATCGTGGTATTTCTTTTAAATAAATTCATCAATCACACATTTCTTCATTCTTCATTCTTACACCAGGTAAATACAGACATTTAATGTTTGTGAATCACAGACACTAGGTGTTTGTGTTTGTCTGTGTGCCTGGTGTACGAAGTAATTTGAAAAGTACGTAGGAGATGTGTAGGGAAAGGCAAATGAACATATAGTTCACAAACTTCACAAATTTGTCTTTTGTGGATTTTAAATTAAAATATCTTTTATTATTTGAGTGCATCTTATTTCTAGGAAAGTGTTAAAAAGGCAATTTTATAAATTTTGTGAACTGTTTGTTTGTGATCCTAGCATTACTCGTAGGGAAAAGAAGGATACTACAAGTTGGGGGTACAAATTAGTGTGCATCTAACATTTTCGAGAAAAAAAGAAAGAAAAAAAGAAATGCCTGTGAAAATCAAAATTAAATTGAACAAAAACTTTTAGACGGATGAATTGAAATGGAAGTCCAACGGGAGTGAGAGAGCGAGGGATAGCACGCGCCGGAGCCGGCACCACAAAGATACACTAAGTAAGGCATGTTCTCTTCAACATATTTAAGACAGATCAGAAACAGATTTAAATATAATTACATTCTGATCAGATCAGACCAGATCAAATCAGAATTTATTCTCATCGAATCAAAACCATTCAGATCAAGTGAAGAGAACATGGTCTTAATCCATATTGCATGCAGACTATCGCCTGCCGGAGCCAGGCGGAGTCGCAATTCCAAGGGCAAATGAAGCGTAGAATAAACCGGCGATGCCGTGTAAAAGGACGGTAAATCCTCCGACGATCAGAACCCACGCCGCACTACACACGCGCGTTTCCCGGGGGACGTCATAAATAGCCGTTGTCGTAGTGTTATTATTATTATTATTATTATTATTATTATTATTATTATTATTATTATTATTATTATTATTATTATTATTATTATTATTATTAGGCAGACATATCTTTGGCTCTTTCGCATATTTTGGCACCCCCCCCCGCCCCAATTAAAAGACTTCCTATCACCACCAACACCCTGCATGCAAAACAATAAAAAAAAAATCATACCCGAGTACATAATAAAATTCTTAACATACTTGTCACATCATATTTTTTTACTAATAATCTACATATCATATCCTAATTTTTCTCATTACATCAGGAGTATTTTTGGAAAGTCAACACAAAAATATCAATCTCTCTTAAATTTCCTAAAAGTCCGAACATGTTTTTGAGAAAGAAGAAGTATTAGATATTGATACAAATTAAAAATAACTTTACTGGATTTAATTTATACAACATTTTCAAAATATTATTTAAACTACTTATTAATACTCTCTCCGTCCCTGAGTATTTTTCCATTTTTTATTTTTTCATTCAAAATTGATAAACTTTAATCTTAAATTAAATAAAAATGATATTAGATATTGATACAAAAAGCGTTTTATTAGATTTATTATACTGAATATTTTCAAAATATTATTTTATTTAATTAACATTCAATATATATTTATTTAATTATAAATTAAAAATTAAAAACAGTTGACCGAAAAAAGTCATAACTAGACAAATATTCAAGGACGGAGATAGTATATCTTACAATTTCTGTTTAGTTTGAGATCAAAGATATATAAAATGATCCAGCTTAAAAAGTAGAGGAATTTATTTAAATATCACTAAAATATAATGACTTTCCTTAAATAGCACCACATGTGTTTTTCTTCCTAATGTAGCACTTTTAGTCATTATGTATTAGTCATTATTCAAGCAAATATTCGCCATGATTGGACATTATTGACATTATTAAGTGCTATTTAGAAAATAAAACAGTTTAAGTGCTATTTAGAAAATAAAACAGTTTAAGTGCTATTTAAAAAATAAAACAGTTTAAGTGCTATTTAGGGAAATGACTTAAATTATAGTGGTATTTAATACAAATATTTCTAAAAAGGGGTCACTAAAATAGGGTATAGTGTCAATTGACATACAGTGTGGTCCAGTGTAAGCCAACCACCCATCGCCTTTGGTATCTTTCTTCCCTGGTGTCATCCGTGCCTTCACATCTCCAATGTCTGCAAAAGCCTGCTAGACAAGCTGCTCCCCGGAGCTGCCGCCGCCGCTGCTAGCACGCACTCTTGCATCATCCTCTTATGTATCTATACATACATGCATACACGAACGAATTACAATATACTCCCTCCCTCTCACAAAATATTTCTTGTTTTGATTGTTAAGAGATGAAAAGTGTATTTTGGTGTCGACATTCCAAAAATTCCATTAAATGTGATATGTAAAAGCAGATGTAATAGGTAGATTAGTTGTGAAAAAGTATGATGTGATAGGTAGGTTAAGAATTAGTAAGAGTAAAAGTAACTTTTTAATAGTACGTAATGAGAAAAGTTTTAAGGAAAAAGGTTTTGTGGAACGGAGGGAGTAATTAAATTATCCACTAAACGGTTCATCATCATCATCAACAACAACGATAACCACTAAGTGAAATCCCACGTACTCCCTTCGTCCCAAAACCCGAACCTTTCATGTTTTGTTTTTAATGGAGTTTAAGGCCAGAGAAGGATATTTTTCTGTTGTCTTTCCGAAAATATCCTTGGTGTGATGGGTAAAAAAATAGGATGCGATGAGTAAATTATTAGTGAATAAATATGATCTGGTAGATAGGATAAAAATTTATTATAAGAGTAAAAATGATTTTTTTAAAGAAGAATTGAATTTGGGAACGAACAAAGAAAAAAACAATGGATTATTGATGACGACTTACGTACCTTGTTGCGTTTAAGAATTGCTGCGACTACCCCAACAATCCCTCCTAATACATCTCCAAAGAAAGCAAAGATTGCCCATATGTATTCTTTATCTTTTTTATCATTTCGAATTATTCTATCACCCATTTAATTAATTTTGATACAATTTGATAATAACTTGTCTTATTGAATATTGAGAAATATGGCCCTATATATAGGGAATACAAGAGTAATCAAAGTACAAGTAGGAAAGGAAAGAATAATCCTAGTAGGAAAGGAAAGAAGTATCCTAATTTAATTATACTTTCTAATATCCCCCCGCAAGCTGATCAACGGAGACGATGGGCAGCTTGGAACATAAGTACTCAAAAGGAACTGGCGGAAGCGGTTTGGTAAGAATGTCTGCTAGCTGCTCTGAGGAGGAAACATGATGTGGAGTCATAGTGCCTGCCATAACCTCATCTCGTACAAAGTGACAGTCTGTGCCCACATGCTTCATGCGATCATGAAGAACCGGATTTTTGGTGACACAGATAGTCGACTCATTGTCACAGTATAACTTCGGTTTGGACGGAGGAATACCCAGCGCATCAGTGATATATCGAAGCCACATAGCTTCTGCAACCCCTGCAGCCATAGCTCGATATTCAGCTTCAGTGGATGATCTAGAAACACGAGTCTGCTTTTTCGTGCACCAAGAGATGATATTAGGACCGAGTAGGAGTATGTAGCCCGTGGTAGACTTGCGATCATCTTTATCATTGGCCCAGTCAGAGTCAGAGTAGACAGATAGGTCGAATCCCCCCTTGCGAAAAAGAAGACCATGATTCAAAGTGCCTTTGAGATAGCGCAGAACGCGTTGCAA